GCACTTCATAAATTTAATATCCACTATACGAACACATTCTTCACAAATTAATCAATGGTTGAAATTCATTTTATTCATGAACCCCACACTTTATAAATTTAATATCTACCCTACAAACACATTCTTCACAAATTATAGGTTGATAAGTCTTGGTCACAACATTTTTCACAAAATAGAAGTTATTTTATTATTTTATTTTATTTTTACAGTGACAGACCTTTCTGGTGAAATTACAATTGTTGTCTTCGTCCAATAAAGGCTGGTCTCTTATAATTTCTGTTTTGTTGCTTTGTAGATTTATTGGAGATATTTTTTTTGTTCCCTTCTTGTTCATTTCTAAGAGCCATAAAGTAGAATTCTGAATTATCTCATGGATCATAATTACAATTTGTCTCATGTTCGATTATTTCTAAACTCGTGATTTATAGGTTTTTGCAAGAACATTTTTTTTATAAAGATTTTGTCTGGCTGGAAGCGGGAATGGATTGGGGATTCTAATTTTGAGAACGAAAATGCATGTAATTCTTAATTTAAAAAAATTGTTGCAAAAGTTTAAAATACAATATAAAATTTTATTAACACAAAAAAATTAATAATATTACTCTTAATTAGTCTACCATATTCTTTTGTTTGCATTCTTACAAAAATAGTGGTTTTACTATGTCGCTTTATGGTAAAGTAAGTAATTTGAAAATACTATACTCAACATATTTTTTTTGATACATAGAAAATGTAAGATAAATTGAGAAAGAGAGAAGAGAGAGCAAATGAATAAATGAGATGTATTATTGATGCTATGTATATAATGTGAAGGGATCTCTCAAAGTAAAAAAATTGTAAAAAAAATCTTTTAAAAATTCACTAAATACCAAAAATATTAAAAAAAAAATAGAAGAATTTAGTACATTTTTTGTATTTTTATGTATTTATTAATTTTTTAAAATATTTTTTCACAAATTTTTTACTTTTAAGATACATCTAAGTAAGGTGCATATAAAAAAGTAAAAGAAAATGTTTAAAATTTTAAAAATATCCACTAAAAACAAAAAAAAATACGAAAACCAAAAAAGTCAATTTTCAAAAAACTTAATCTACAAAACTCAAACTAAACACACTGAGTGGTTTTACTATGTTGCTTTATAGTAAAGTAAGTAATTTGAAAATATTATATTGAACATATTTTTTTGATACAGAACCAAAAAAAAAAAAAGAAAACAAATCTACGATATCTTCGATATTAAAATCTCAAGTAATATTATTTTCAATAAATATGATCAAATAATCATCTATCTTGTTACACAATTCAGTCTTTATATATTTCATAATTTAAACAATTAGAACAAGTAAAATTAACATAAGATAAATCAATCTATAAAGACGAGAGAGTGATCCATTTCAATAAATATTATCAAATTTTATAAACTTATTTCTAAAAATGTCATGTCAAATGCAGACTACCCTTACGCTTGCCTAGATCCATCATAGCTTGGAGCTTGGAGGTCTAAATTGGGAATTTGAACATGCACGTTGATAGCGAAGGCAAAAAATTTGTATGTCAATTTCAAAACCATAAGTCATGTACCTTGCATTTCGAATATTGTAATCATCAATTAATAAAGGGTAACATTAACCACACCAAAATAAAAGTCTCATGTCCCAATCAAATTAATCATTTTTTATAATTCTACATTGTTAAGGGATGAAAATATTCTTGTATGTTTTTCCTCGGTTATTTTTAAAGTTCTTAATTAACTTTAATTATGTTTAAATCTTGAATTTTTAGAAACATTTACAAAGGGAAAAAAATGAAAAAGAAAAAAAAAACTTCTTTATTTCTCTTCATTTTTTTGCACCATAAATTTGATATCCAAATACAATCTTGATTAATTTGAAAGAAAATATTCGGTGTATAATCCATCATGACAATTTTAATTATTTTTCTGCTAGTTGATATCCCACACTGTTGGGAAATTAATATATACAATATAATTAAGTAGATAAATTCTAGTATGTATTAAGATGAAATCAATGCAGAATTTCCTACTACGTACTTAGTGTTAGAACCTTATTATATACCAAATCTTTTTATTAAAGTAATTGGAAGACATATTTTAATAGTCTTACCCTTATTAGTTGTATGCCACATGAATGTCATCAATTAGGTTTAAGGCCATTGTTGAAAATCTTGCAAGGAAAGAATGTTGGGTAGTGCCGTAATGACATCCCATACTATATTTTTTTTAATTTTTTATTATAGAGAAAAGATTACTATATTTTTACTTCATCCTGGTCCAACCATATTGCTTCATACATTGAAGATGTTAATAAATGGATTTGTGATATACACTCTGCAGGATTTTAATGTGCAATGCAGCACCAACCAGGCCCCACTGATCATTGTGTAATGCTTTCACTTGTAAAAGTTCTTTGCAGTTGTATATGTTGATGTGATTTTGTTAGCTACTCATATAAAGATTTTTTTTTCAGTATAAAAAACTATTGCGGGTGACATTGATGTTGCTTTCTCTCATGTTAAGTGTTGGATAATGGACGGTGGTAGAGTCAGAATTTGAACTTAGAAGGAAACACCGAGTTAAATTCTTAGCATGATTTATCATAATTTAATTGAACATAATTTTCATTTGATGGTAAGGTGACTAAAAATTATTGGTTATGTTTGAATCAATGAATTATTTATTTTATTATTAATTTAATTTTCAAGAAGGGTAGAGAAACAAATGAGAGAATATAAAATTTAAGAGATATACTTGAAACTTCAAATGAGAAAATTAGAAAAAAAAAATTAATTAAGTATAAAAGTATAATTTAAAAAAAAAAAATTAAAAAGGGACATGTGCCCGGTCCCTATGTGGCTTTATGAGAAACTTTTCCTCCAATTGAATAATTAATTGATTGTGCCACATAATTTTTGGCACAATTGTAAATAAGGGTTGTTTTATAAATGAGTTATTTTAGTAATTTTGTTGATTTTTTATGAAAATACATGTAAAAAAATAAGGAGAAGAGGTGATTTTTATAATTCACTTTTTAACTCTCTCTCTCTCTCTTGTGGAGAATGTATTAAATAATATACATGCCCATTTGTTAAACCCATTTTGTAAACCCAATAATATGATTGAGAAAATATAGGAGACATTACCTTAGATATCCTATTTGAAAATTGAATCTAATTTTCAAATTTGTATAACAATGCCCATTAAAGAAATATCATAAAAACACCCATTAGAGGGACCACCAAGTCAACTCTTTTTGTCAGCTCAATTTCTTTTAGGGCAATTCGTATATGTGTAAGTGCATATCATATATACTTGTGTAAGTTCTCACAAATACATAAGTTATTTTACAAAATCGCATAAGTTCTAAAAAATATACTTAAGTTGTGATTTTTAAAGTTTTTATGAGTTAATTTATGGATTAACTTACGTATATTTGTAAGAATTTACGTAATTTCGTAAAATAACTTATGCATATTTATAAAAATTTACGTAAATACATATAGTATACACCTTACGCATCTAAACACTGCGTTTTATATTATCCCAAGGCCTATTCATTGCACTTTGATGAGAAAATTTAACATTGGTCATTTTCATACACATTTTATGAGCAAGTAGTCATGCTCATACTTAGGTAGGTGCAAATATCTCAATCAATTAATATATAATTTCATAGTTGTAGGGGCGTAGGTGGTCACATATTAAAAGGTGGCTGTGGGTAAACCATCCTGTCACTATAACAAATTACATTTTTAGTTTTAGAGGCAAAAAAATTAAGAAGGAAATTATTTTTTATAGACGAAATACTTAATTATTAAAATTATTATTTTGTAATTTTATTAATAAAATTAAATATTTTGTAATAAATTACAATCATTTTGGGATCAAAATTTCAGTCTGAAAATGTATACATTTTTAAAATTTTGTAGCTAAAGGTCCATTGTTTTGACCTTTTGGTCTTCTAATGTTTTTTTACACTAAATTTTTTACTTTCAGGTATGAAAATATTTAATCCCTAAAATCTTTAAATATGGTACTGAATATTGCAGCAAATCTGAATTTTAAAAACTTGTGGTTTAGGATTGAGACTCAGGTACACAGGGCTGGCATATATATGATGCTATTTGCCTAATTAATGGAAGAAATGAGAATTTCAAACTAAAAGATTGCGAGGAAATGTCAAATGAGAGAGCATTGGATCTTATAGGAATATTTTGTGTTAATATTTCATTCTGACTTTCATTGTTTGCCTTTAACGCTGCCATATTCCCTTGAATCCATGTCATGGATCCTACACATGAAACTCAATGCCCATGTCATTTTCCTATCATTCATATATTGCTGCAAACATCTAAAATTATTCAAAAGTTACTCATCAAAATAATTTATATTTTTGAAAATGTTACTACCACATATTGTCAAAAAAAAAAAGAGTACGAAAATTCAGTAAAATTTCATATTTTCTATTTAAATTTTCTGTCATTTGCAAGGTTCTAAATCGCGGTATCGGGTAATGTAACGGTATCGATAGCGGAGTATCGGTATCGGTAGTATCGATAGGTACGTATCGGGAATCGGGTGTTGCGGCGGTGAAATTTTAAAAACCATTTCACAGGTTTTTCAGCTTTTTCTTTCCGTACCGGTTCGAACCGGTGAGTATCGGCTCATCGCGACTTGTGTAATGGTTACAAAGCGATACGTACCAAGACTCGGCCGATACTCCTGCAATTTTCAATCTCAGCGGGATACCAGCCTGTATCTGTCACGGTACCCCATTTTTTCGATACGTATCGGCCGATACGTAGCGTATCGGCCGGTATTTAGAATTATGGTCATTTGCATTCCTAGCTCAAGACATATAGACCCCCACATATATTTAAAAAAAAAAAAACAGCTTAATGGTCTTGGAAACTAAATTGAAACTATATACAACAATATAACTGATAAAACATGTGTATCAATTAATTTATTTCAAGTATCCACAAAATGTTCCTGAATAGCTTCAATTTCAAGTTCTACAACTGTGACGTATGGTTAAATCCATTGCTATGACCATTTTTCTTTGCAGCACCATCAACTTTCCCAATCTCTACCACTACTTCATCATCATCATCCATGAACCTCTTCCACAACCAGTGCTGCTTCCACACCTTCTCCGTCATCTCCTCAATCGGCACGTTCTTCGTCTCCGGCAATAAAAAGAACACAAAGAAAGACATCACCAAAACCCAACCCGAAAAGAACAAGAAAATCCCAAACTTGAAGTGGCAGAGCATCGAAAGAAAAGCCTGCGCAATCACAAACGTGAACAGCAAGTTTACACATACCGTCACGCTCTGGCCTGCTGAGCGAGTCTCGAGCGGGAACGTCTCGCTCGGGATAAGCCAGCCCAACGGGCCCCACGACCATGCGAAGCCTGACACAAAAGTGCACACCATGATGACTACAAAGATTGCGTAGCCACTGTGGAGGTCGGTAGTGTGGTCCTTGACTTTCAAGCCTAGGATTACGGCTATGACTGATTGGGAGAGGAACATTTGAACTCCGGCTTCGAGGAGAAGGAAGCGGCGGCCGACTTTGTCGACTGAGTAGATTGATACGACGGTGGAGATGACGTTGACGGCCCCGGTGATGACCGCGGAGTAGAGGGAGGCGTCGTTTTTGAATCCAAGCGTATCGAAGAGAACCGGGGCGTAGAACATGATGGCGTTGATGCCGGTAAATTGTTGGAAGATCTGTGGAAAGCATTGCATGAATTAGTATTGCAAATTTTAAATTGATTTGTTGCAATTGAATTTCCCTTTTTATCTACCTATACCCTAGTTGGAAGATTTGGTATAGATTTAGAAAGAAAAAGGAAAAAAGAAAAGGCACATGAAATTATATGAAATATAGGTATATTTTATTTGCATTTCACCAATCTTTTTCATTTCTCTTTCTAAATCCTTCTTCAAATTTTTCAACTAAACACAACGATAGTGTACACAAAGTCCGCTCACACGGTCAACTGTTTGGAACAGTTTCTAACCTTATTTAATTGTTTCAATTCATAATTGCTTATCTAATTGTTTTACTCGAGCACAAGTAACCTGTGTCAACACTACTAATGTTATGTTAAACAATGGATTGACACACTCTCAACTGCATACTTTTTGAACTAGGAAACTAGCACAAAGAATTGTGAGAAGAACAAACCTGCAAGGCCACAGCGATGATGAGTTGGGACCGATTCCTCCTCTTGAGGAGGTTTCTAAAGGGGTGCTTGACTTGTTTGGCTACACGGCTGGCCTCGACAAGCTCCAAGTACTCAGGTTCAACATTGTCAATGCCGCGTATCCTTTTGAGCACCACTTTACCTTCATCAAGATGGCCACGCTCGATGAGGCTGTTGGGGGTGTCAACCACCAAGAGGGCTCCCACGGTTAGGAGGATAGCAGGAATTCCGGCCAAACCCAATGAAACCCTCCAACCCCATCCTCCTTTGATCCTGTGGTTGCAAGGGAAACAAAAATTATAATTTAGAAATATAGCAATTGAATGGACCAGAAAAAAACATTGTGCAATTGAGATTCATCTCAGAAGGCAATTTATTTTTCTTATTACTGAACATACAAATAGTAAGTCACATTAAAAAAAAAAAATACATGTAAAATCTGTGTTTTGTTCCTTGAGACAAAAAAAAAAAAAAAAAAATCTAATAAAAATTCATTTATGTATAACAATTTTTTTATAAAAATATTATGTCTTTTTTTTTTTTTTATAGCAACCTTTTTTTTATTTACAGGGGAAACAGAGATTAATCTAAATAATCTCTCCATTCTGTTTAATTAGTGCAACTTATCAATTTGCCAAGGGAATTTTTTGGAGACAAATTATACAAATGGTTCGTGTAATTTGTCTCATGTGTTCATTTGATTTATATAACTTCAATTGTATCAATTTTGCCTTTAATTTTTTCATATTGTGTCAATCTAATGTGATTGAGAACATTCACTAACAAATTAGATTAGACACAAAAAAAAGAAAAAAGGAAAAGCAAATAGTTCATTTAAAAGGGGATAAACCATTTCAAATTGTATGGTTTACTTCTCAATCACTTTGAGAAGAGTAAATGAATAATTTTACTCATTCATTTTAGTTTAATTTAAAATGTGCACTATCAATTAAACTAAACTGATACAATGTGTTAAATTTAAGGACAAAATAGATGCTATAAGAATTATAATGATTAAATTGACACAACTCCATTTATTTATTTTGATTTTGTGTTAGAATATGTAAAGCATTTTTGCATACAACTTATGATATAAAAATAATTTAAATATATTGATGCCAAATTGAAAAAATTGATTATGATTTCTAATTGGGGAGACCATTATTATGAAATGAAGGACTTACATGGCAGTGCCGTAGTTAACAACGTTGGCAAAGAGAATGCCAATGGTTACGTTAAGTTGGAATAAAATGTTAAGTCCTCCACGTATTCTTGTTGGTGCTATCTCTGATAGGAAAAGTGGTACTGCCTGTAAATAAATTCATTCAAAAATTTATTAAAAAAAAAATACACTCATCAAATCTGAAATTTGACAAAAATGAAGGAACCAGCAAATCATCATCTACTATCAAAGCCCATAAAATCAGCAAAATGTACAAATAAAATCTCTTTGTGCATATTTAAATAGGAATCTCAAAAGAAAAAGGAAAAAATGAGTAAAATGTATTCAAACACAATTTTAATTTTTATTCAAATTTATGATTCAAACTTAACTTAAATTACTTACAACTGTCATTAAAACAGATTTATGTTTACCAAATGGGCTGAGATCTTCTCTACCCAAAAAAATGGTTATGTAATTTGATTTGTTTAAAATTTTAAAATTAATGAAAAATTAAATCATGTTTATATATCAAATAATTCTTACTCATCATCAGATTTGAAAATAAGATCTCTCACCACAGCAAATCATATATTTTAGAAAATTGTTAGGGATTTCAATGTTTTATTGATATGGAATTCGTATGTGAGTCCTATGTGAGACATTTAGGATTTGTACTATTACTCTATATTTTAATTTTTAATTCAGATATCAAATAAATCTTACTTATCATGAAATTTGGAGCTACGATCTCCCACCAAAAAAAGTCAAATCTCTCTTATTATTAATCAAAATATCAAATAACCTTACCTATCATGAAATTTGGAGAGCATCTAAATACATCAATCAAATTTCTCTCTACATCTATATGTACAATTGTTTCTTCATGAATCTCTACATCTATATGTACAATTGTTTCTTCATGAATCTCTAAAGAAAGTCGATGTCAAACCGGCTAAGTATAGTGATGATGTGAATAATTGTAGCCCTTGATTATCGTATTTGCAGTAATTGCTATCAAGATTTCCCTCTGTTTTCCTTCGATATACCACCGGGAAGAATTTCTTCAAGAAGTCATTCATGGAAGTTACACCTCCTGTATTGTATAATGGAATTACAAATTAGATATCATCCATATTTAATTTGAACTTTTCACCGGGCCTCGTTTGAGAATAGGCTTTTTCAGTAACTTTTTGACTTTCTAATTAAAATGTGATGTAAAAAATTAATATGTTTGGGATGACTTCTTGGCTTTTTACGAAAAGATGTACAAAAAGTAAAAAGAAAATAGAATCTTTAACTTTTTTGTATGAGTTGTTGGTTTTTTGATATTTTTTTAGTGACTTTTTGGCTAAAAAAATCACTTGCCAAACGAGGCCTAAACGAGTTTATTGTTTTTCATTTATCATAGGAGGGGAGAGATAAAAAAAATAATTAGAGATAAGACTTTAGCTTTGAATATGTATGTGACAAATATATATTTTTAATTAAAAACAATGAATCATAACATTAGCGATAGAGGTGTATCAGGCTTATTATTTTCCATTCCAAACATCATTTTTTCACAATTATCTTTAAAATTCCCACACAAAAATAAAATAAAATAAATAAAACATCATTATTATTAGGCCTGGTTTGAAAATTGATTTTTTCAATAATTTTTAAAAAAAAAATAGTAATTTTTAAAAATTTAAATTTTTTTATGAAGTGACAACAAATTATGGGTTTGAAAATCAACTATTTTTAATTGTATTAAAAAACGTGAATTATTGAGATGTTTTGATTTTTTTTTTAATAATTTTTTTTTTACTCTTTTACTGACTTTTGAGCTTTCTTATTTTTTTTATTTTTATTTTTTATGTATTTTAATCCAAAAAAATTAAGTTGCCAAACGAACCTTAGAATAATTGAATTCTCAAACTTACCCTTATGCCACGGGACAAGGGTGATAGATATTTCGGTTCGTTAATTTCCTGTTTGGTTGGAACCCCACTTGATGGGAGGGAGCGAAGGAAAGAAGCATCTCTTCGTGGTCCTCACGTGCCTTTTTGGTATTTTTAATTTTGATTTTAAGGACTCATTTAGAAATAAGATATTTTAGTTATTTTGTTTTTCCTTTTTCTTATCCTTTCTGAATCCATGTCCAAATCCATACAACCTTATTGATGAATAGAGAAGAAATTCTACCAAGAGGGATGAGAAATATATATTATATAGAAGAAGAAAAACATATAGATCTAGTAGTTTATTTGTGTACATCAACAAACAGTGTATAGAGATAAATAAATACATAGAAAAACATGTAGGTGGTGACGATGAAGAAATAATAGTAATAAAAACAAAATACATAGATATAGATTTAGGAGTTGTTTGGCAGGAAGGATGTAAGTGTATAAGTGTATTTATTTAGGTTAAATCACATTTTTGATTTTTTCACACATTTATTTTATAAAAAAATAAAAATATATTTATTTAAATCATTCTAAATAATCTAGTAGTAGTAATAAAAGTGGTATGAAATGTAAGTAGCAGGTAGGAACCTGAAACGCCGACGTCGTAACCGAACATGAGACCTCCGGTGGCGGCCATAATGCAAGACATGATGACTATGGGTGTGATCTTCGCCTCAAACTGTGTTCCTCCGCCTCCGGCCGACAATCCTCCCCCTACCATAACTTTGTAGAGAGAGAGAGATGAAAAGAGTTGATCTGTGTAGAGGGGTATATAAAGAGGGAGAGAGAGTTGGGGGTTAGAAAATGGATGATGTGGGAGTGTTGTGGGGATGACCACTGTGAATACATTTAATTATATAAGATTCATCACTTTTATTACATTATTGTAAATACATTTATGAATATAAAATGTAAGTTTTTAACATGGTTGGATTTGGTTTGGTCCCCACTATGCAATCAATATATACAACAAAATCAACCAGAAGAAAAATATCATCCAAAAAAGATTGCTTATTGATATGGTATCATTGTAATCTTTAAGTGTCGATGTGTAGACTTATCTCAATGTAAACGAAAGGACGCAACACTGGGATAAGAGAAGAATGTACCAACCCCTAGTATAAGAGATAAAGTCACAATCAGAATACAACACATCAATTTTTTCATTTGAAAAACAAATTAATAGTCGAGCCCTTTAAAAATCGAGTTCGGCTCACTTGTGTAAAAGAAAGATATTTTTCCACTCTACCACCCCAAGTAGTATAAGAAAAATTATTAAAAAAATGTTATGTCATAAAATTTGCACACCTATGTAAAAGAAAGATACTTTTTTACTCTACCACCACCCCAAGTGGTACAAGAAAAATTATTAAAAAAATGTTATGTCATAAAATTTGCAAGAGTTAGTTATACAGGTGCATACTTAAAATTTTAGTGATGTGGATCTTCCAAACTGTTTTATTAATATAGTTTTTTAAATATTTAACATTTGCAAATATTGAGTTAAAAAAATAGTTGGAAATGAGAAAACTAAACCCGAACTTTCACCTCTTCACAAATAGGTATTTATACAATTTTTTGCAGTTCAAAAGTTTAAATGTATAATTTTAAAATTAAAAAAATAAAAATAATATTTAATAATAATTGAAGTGTAAAATATAAATATTCAAAAAATATAGTGTGTGAATCAAATTGATTTTAGATTTAGTTTTCAATCCACTAAATTTACAAACTTTACATTTTGGGCACATTTTAATTCATGTTTTTTTTTTAATTCATAATTTTAGAGAGCCACCATTCCCACTCCATTTTATTCCAAATACACTTCCTTTTTTGTTCTTTACCCTTTCATAGAAAATATACTCCATGAAAAAATCAAAATTATAATGATATTAATTGACATTTATTTCATATTTTAACATTGGCATGACAAAGAAGGAAAGTTTAAAAAATTATCATTTTGAGTAAATCTGATTCTAATAAAGACTTTTGTTGTTCAATTTTTTTCTAAAGCTTCAAAATAGAAAAATATTTTGAGTTGAAATACGAAAACCATAAACGGTCACTTTTTTCTTTTTTTCTTTTTTTTTTAAGGAAATTTTGTTTATATAATATTACTCTTAATAAAATTTAAAATTAAAAACTACAAATTTCGAGGTAATAAGGGTAAGGATTTAATTAAGAGTAATGCTAGAGACTCCAGATATTCTACCAAAAGTTTTACCAAATGTCTCACATGGGTGTGGGACCCACACAATGTGGGTCCCATATGGGTCCCACACTCATATGAAACATTTGGTAAAATTTTTGGTAAAATTTTTAGAGCCTCTAGCATTTTTGTTTAATTAATAAGCCATTCAAATCTTGTTTATTGAAAAGTACTCTAATTTTGAGAATAAAGATAAGTGTTACAAAATAGATATGCGTCACTTTTTGACTTTTAACTTATTTTGTAGCATATCTCTCTATTTTTTGAGCAAGGATTTTTTCCTTAGATCCTCTTCTTAGCTCCTTATTTGGTGGGATATTGGGCCCAATTTTTGGCTCAATTTTAATAATTTGAATCGTTTACATTTAAAGATTTGTCATGTATATTATACCTGTAAAAAAATTAAGCCAGTCAGATATCGAAAATCACGTGAATTAAAAGTTTATTAAACAATAAAACTGTTTATTAAATTTTTTTTTAATAAATGATTTTTAATTCTTTCGATATCCGATTAACTTGATTTTTACAGGTATAATATACATGACAAATCTTAAAATGTGAATAGTTTAGATTATCGAAATTAGGCCTAAAAGTGGACCCAAATGATCCACCAAGTAAAAAACCAAAGAGAAGATCCTTGCTCCTACTTTTTTACACATTTTTAAAAAAAAAAATTAAAAAATCAATTTTCAACTAACTTACTAAAACAACCCAGAGTGATATTTATGGTGCTCTTATTTACATGGTCTAGATGGACTTAAATTTCATAGTAAAATGTTGAATATAATGACACCATTACGTCATGTGAGAATTAGGCTAGATATTTGCGGTTCCACTTTTCTTTCTCTTGGCCCCATGTGACATGGACCTAACATCAGGTGTGTGATTTTGTTTTCAAAATCATGTTCCTTAAAAACTGGAAAATGGTTTCACAACTTTCTCTTTGGTCCAACCCATCATAATTCATTACTTTATGTTGTAAGTGGATTACAAATCTCTGCACTTATTGATGGAAAAAGAAATAGGAAATAGAAAAGTGTATAAAGTAGAAGCCCATTTTTTTTTTAATGAAAATCTAATTTCAAGGAATCACATTTATATTTTAGGTTCCGTTTGTTTTAACGTAAAATATTTTATATAAAAAAATATTTTTTTTGTAAATGAATTTTATATAAAAAAAATCTTTTTTTGATTGATACTTGAAACAAAAACATTCTATTACCTAAAAGATAAATTTTGAAAAGGTAAGTGAG